GCGCGCCAATCTAAGAAAGGTTGGCGCAGGGCATGCCTGTAAGCACGCCCCTTTGCTGCGCAGGACTCGTCGGTCTCTGCGCCGCCGACTTGGACTTTTCCCTCGCTGGGACCTTGACTTCTCCCCTTGCGGGGGACTTCAAGTTGCCCCTTTTTGCCCCGGGTCTTGCACTATAATTTAGCTGGGTGAAACTTCATGGGATGGAGTGCGGGGGCGGCACTAAGGGTTTGTTCCCGACGAGCACCCCCCATCCCTCTCCCAAGCCGGTGCAAGAGTGACAGTGCTGCGTTTGCGATGCCGCTTGCGTTGCGTTTCGCGATTCGGGCTTTTATCCGCCGCGGTTTGTGTTTGTTGCTGGTTGTGGTTGGCGGTTGTGGTCGTTGTTTGTCTTTTGGCACTCTGGGGCTTCTGCTCGTTGGGGGGTGTCTCTCATTTTTGTTTTGGAGGTTCTGCCCCCTCCGTTTCCCTTCTCGTCCTGTCGGCGGCTGCGGTTGGTTTTGGTCCTTCGATGCTGGTCGCTGCTGTTGGTGTTGCTCTTTTGGTGCCCTGTGGCTTCTGCCCGCCCTGGGTGTCTTTCTTGTGGTGGTTGTGTCTGGTGTTTGTTGTTTGGTGCTCTGGGCTTCCTGGGGCTTCTGCCCGCCCTGGGGCGTTCGTCCCTGTGGTTTGTGTTCGGTGTTTGTCTTTTGGCGCTCTGGGGCTTCTGCTCACCGGGGGTGTCTTTTGGTTTTTGTTTTGGTGGTTCTGCCCCTTCGTTTTGTTTCTCTTCCTGTTGGCGGCTGCCGTTGATTTTTGTCCTTTGATGCTGGTCGCTGCTGTTGGTGTTCCTCTTTTGGTGCCCTGTGGCTTCTGCCCGCCCTGGGGTGTCTTTCTTGTGGTGGTTGTGTCTGGTGTTTTTTGTTTGGTGGGCTTCCTGGGGCTTCTGCCCGCCCTGGGCTGTTTCCACGCGCTGTTGTGATTGGCGACTGGCGTTAATTTTTTAAGGCTCTGGGGCTTCTGCTCGCCCTGGGGTGGTCGTCTTCTTCCCTTGGGTGGTTGTGTTGGTGTTTGTCTTTTGGCGCTGCTTTGCTGCGTTTCTCTTTCTCTTGGTGGCTGCCGTTGGCATGGGTCCTTCCTTCCTTCCTTCCTTCCTTCCTTCCTTCCTTTTGGCTGGTGTGTGGCGCTCTGGGGCTTCCGCCTGCCCGGGTGTCTCTGTTCCTTTTGTTGGATGAGGTTTGCTTTTTTGGCGCTCTGGGGCTTCTGCCCGCCCTGGGGTTTTCGTCTTCTTCCTTGAATGGCTGTGGTTTGTGGTCGGTGTTTGTCTTTTGGCGCTCTGGGGCTTCTGCTCGCCCGGGGGTGTCTTTCGTTTTCTTTGGTTTTCTGCCCCATCTGTTTTGTTTCTCTTCCTGCTACTGCCGTGGGCCGCCGCAGCAGCAGCAACAACAACAACAAGAAGAACAAGAACAAGTTGCCCCTTCCCGGCGAGCTTGACTTACCTCTCTTGTGAGTGGTCTTCTTGGGGGCCTTCGACGTGTCCCTTGTTGGCGACTTCGTTGGGGGCCTGGAGGACCTCGAGGAGGACCTGCCTGAAGACGAGCTTGAGCTTGACCCTGAAGGCAGCTTGTGCCAGATGTCGAGCTCCTTCTTCCTTGTTTCTACCTCCTGAGCACGGACAGAATATTATATACATGTGTGTCCTCATGCCTTCGTTCCAAAAAAACCAGGTGATCGACAAATACATGAAGCATTCCAAGTACTGGAGGAAAAGCATTATTCTTGACTCAAGGACAGGGAAAACATTATATCTATGTTTATTTGTTTATTTATTTATATATTTATTTATTTATATATATATATATATATTATTGACAGGGGTGCAACCTTGTACTTGCTCAGGCTCATTATTGGCACAGGCGTGTGTCCTGCATGTTTTCTTATTACTTGCTTGCGCGCTCCCCCAAGAAAGAAAGTAGTGGGGCCCCGTTTGCTTCGCATATTTTTCACCGGGGTTTTCTTTCTTCCGGAATGCGCTCCTGCAGCTTCGCGATCTTGGCGCGGGGGTCTTTACGATCCGGTGCGTGGCCTTAGAAGTTGGAGCAAGTGGAAAATGCAAAGCAAAGCGCCGCAAAAACTTCTCACGCACACACACACACGCACACATAGAAGATATATCATAGCTATCATATACATGTGCGTATACATGTGCGCGCGATTGCGCGCCAGTTGTACTCACACACAAACTTATTGCTATCAGTAAAGACAAAACATATACAGTTATATATGATGGTTGATCAAAATTCCTTTATCCGGGAACGACCATTCTTCGCGAATAAAATGTTACTTTCGCTAAACTTTCGCGAGCTCCATGTTTATCTCGCGCGGGGCCCATGTTGGGCAACAACACTTCTTATGAAGATTCGTTCACCACCTGCCAAGTTACGCCAGAGAATCACAGGTCACTTCTTGATAGCCTTTTAAACATGCAGCTAGCATCACGGAATCCCTTCTCAGGGCAGATTGTTGCTGACCAGGTTTTTTTTTGGCAAGGTTAATTGACCCACCCCCTTCAATATGCACTTTGACTTTCGCCCGCTCCTTCGCATAACTTTCGCGGAACTTTCGCGAAAATATCCCTATTCACAGACCCCGGCCATGAGCAGGGGGTGCATTGAAGGAAAAGCGAACACCAGGGGCCTTCGTGTTTGGCGCTCGCAAAGCCTTCAAACGAAGCTTGTGTATGCTTTCGTGCGAGATCTCCCTCAAAATCTGCAAGTGGAAGATTTGAAAACGAAGCTTTCGTATGCTTTCATGCGGGGCTTCCCTCAAAAATCTGAATGGAAGAAATGAAAGCGAAGGTTTCGTGCGAGACATCCCTCAAAATCTGAAAGTGGAAGGTGTGAAAACGAAGCTTTTGTATGCTTTCGTGCGCGACTTCCCTCAAAATCTGCAAGTGGAAGATGTGAAAACGAAGCTTTCGTATGCTTTCGTGCGGGACTTCACTCAAAATCTGAAAGCATTGAAAGTGGAAGATGTGAAAACGAAGGTTTCGTTCGAGACACCCCTCAAAATCTGAACGTGGAAGCTTTCATGCAAGACATCCCTCAAAAACTGAACGTTGAAGATGTGAAAACGAAGCTTTCGTGCGAGTGCGGGACCTCCTTCAAAATTTAGAACTTCAACGTGTGAAAATCAAGCCTGAACTGGCAGCTCCACTGCGGGGCCGATCCGAGAATGATCCGAGGACAGCCGAGACCGTTCTGAAACAATCGCCCGGCAAACCTTCCCCATTCATCTTCCGGGACACGTTTTGTCTTGCAAAAGGCAGTAATTCGTGCATCCGGTACCTTTCAAAAACGAATTTCGTGCGAGACCTCCTTCACAACCTGTGAAAGTGGAAGATGTGAAAATGAAGCTTTCGTATGCTTTCGCGCGAAAGCTTTCGTATGCTTTCGCGCGAAACTTCTTCAAAATCTGAAAGCGGAAGATGTGACTTTCGCGCGAGATTTCCGTCAACGAATTGAAAGTGGAAGATGTAAAAACGAAGCTTTCGTATGCTTTTGTGCGAGACTTCCCTCAAAATCTGAAAGTGGAAGATGTGAAAACGAAGCTTTCGTGCGAGACTTCCCTCAAACTCTGAAAGTTAAATATGTGAAAACGCAGCTTTCGTGCGAGGCTTTGACATCCCTTTGCTGTGACATCCCGTTGGTGTGACATCGCTTTTCTGTGATGTGGCTTTGACATCCCTTTGCTCTGACATTCCTTTGCTGTGGCATCCCAGGGCCTTGACATCCTTTGCCGTGAAATCCCTTAGCATTGACATCCCTTTGCTTTGACATCCCTGTGCTTTGACATCCCTTTGCTTTGACATCCCATTGATGTGGCATCACATTGATGTGACATTCCTTTGATGACATCCCTGCGCTTTGGCAACTCTTTGCTTTGACATTCCTTTGCTTTGACATCCCTTTGCTGTGACATCCCATTGCTTTGACATCCCTTTTGCTGTGACACCCCAGCACTTTGACATCCCTTTGCTGTGGAACCCAGTTGCTTTGACATCCCTTTGCTTTGGCATCCCTTTGCCGTGGCATTCCTATGCTGTGACATCCCTTTGCCTTGACATCCCTTTGCTGTGGCATTTCTTTGCTGTGACGTCCCTTTGCTTTGACATCCCGTTGCTTTGACATCCCATTTCTTTCACATTCCTATGCTGTGACATCCCTTTGCCTTGACATCCCATTGCTTTGGCATTCCTATGCTGTGACATCCCTTTGCTTTGACACTCCGTTGCTGTGACATTCCAAAGATCCGTAACACGGAAGTTAGACTTTGAAACTTCCGTTGTCACAACGCGCCTGGCGTGTTCCTGGAGGGCGCCTTGAATATTCTGTCGCCGGGGCAATCTCTAGTGGGGTCGGAACTGGGATTTTTCACCCGGCCCCACAGCTTTCCAGGTAAAATACACCACCCCCCTCAAAAACACCCGGAAAGACGTAATTTACACTTTGTAAGGCCACTCAAAAAACTTAGGCTAAAAGGGGGGATATTGCGCAGGCATGGAATACGAAAATGACTGGGTTTCACCACCCAAAAACTCTTGGCAGGGCAACCGTATCCATCGACCGTACCACTAACCGCACCTATCGTACCACCAACCAAGATATCATACCACAGCACGGCGCTAAATGCACCAACCGTGCCAAACCGTAGTACCAACCCTCGTACCCCCCCACACCAAAAAATCACCGTTTAACAGAAAAGTGCGAAGAACATAAATCTCAGGCAGAACTAACTTTCACATACCTAAAAGCCGGTACCTGTCCATCTGCAAAAAGGCACTTGTAGATGTGTAGATGTTGATGCTGATCATGATGATGGCGACAATGAAGGGGATGATGATGCTGAAGAGGATGATGGGGATGAAGAAAAAGATTATGAAGATGATGATTGGCGGCCGCTCTTTGGAAGGAATCCTTCACAAGAGCTTTCGGGAGAAAAAAATGGATCGCCGCAAAACATATTTCATCTCTCCGCCTGTTCCTCGCCCGAAGCACTCAATTGTTTGACGCTGGTTGCGCAACAGGTGAAATGCGCTCAACATCTCAGGTCGCATGCGTGCGCATGCGGCCAACGGGCTTCACATTGAGGCTACTACATTACATGGTTGACGATGAGTTCATTCATCAACTCCTCAAATTCAGGTGGCACACTCCGGCCACTTTGGATAGATTCGTGTAGCAACGCAACAGCTTTGTTGTAAGAAGCCCTCTTCTCATCATCTTTGCCAAAACCCATGATCATCCGGCGATCAGCATCAGTCATACCCAAGGCTCTTGACTGCAAAGCCTCGTCAATTGTAACTTGAAGAACGTTGGCTGCACGGCATTCTTCGACCGTTGCGCGGAGCAAATCTATTGGGCACTCCTGACGGGCTGCCGCAAACAACAAGACACCATGAGGGCGGGCGCAAGGGTGCGCATGGTTGGGTGCCTGCTTCGCTGTTTACTGGTCGTTTCAAATTGAAAACAAAAACGATCGAGAAAGATTAAGGAAGGGAGCAGCCCTTGACGGCTTACAATTTTTGCGCCAGTAAGGCCTTGGTGCTACCTTTTACTGCACATGTTTACAAAATCACAGCCCCCCGGGACTTTCAAATTCAGGTCCTTGATGGCTGCTGAGATTCCTGCCGTATCTTGGCAGTCGATGGAGAAATTCAAAGTTGCCAGCCTTGCTGACGCGCATGCTGAATGCAGCAGGGGACAGCAACTGCAGCTAACACATGTAAACAAATCAAGAACACATCTGAATACTGAATCGCTGGCAATGACTGCTGGTGGCTCGGCTCCTAATTCATCTAACTCATGTCAAGGCGCATGCGTTCGATTCCCGACTTGGCAAGAAAAGCCTCATTCAGATCATGTTCTGGAAGACCCGCCGCTTCGCATTCAGCAATGGCAGCCTTCAGAACCCGAATGTCAAGCAACTGCACAGCAACACTCAGCCGCGCCAGCATTTCCTCAATCTTCGTCTTTAGGGTTTGAGCTGCGTCGACTTCAGGCAAAGGAGGCAAGCCAGCACGTTGAAACTCAAGAAGGGCACCGCTGAGAAGGCTTATATCTCTCGAATCTGCTGCGACCTGGATCTTAGAAAGGATCTCGTGGATGCTGTCCCGAAGGCTCAAAGCTTCTTGCAAAAGCATGTCAGGAACCCCGTAATCTCTACATGCTCCAATCGCTGGATTCAAGAGATTCAAGTTTCGGGCAGACACACCTTCTTGCAACTTCCCAAACAAGTTTTCAAGCTCTGCTTGCACCCGCGTTGCATCTGCAAGGAAAGCTGGGGAAACCCTGCATTCTTCGCACGCAGCAAGCGCTCGGCGAATTCGGCCCAAATCCCTACTATCCTTCGCAGCATTCACTTGTGCCAGCAGGGCCTCCATGTGGGCCTTCAAATCTAAGGCCTCTTCCATGTATTCCTGCCGCAGGTTAGATTCTTTGCAATCCTTGAGCACTGTCCTCAAAGCAGCCAAATCTTGCCGCGACACAGAAGCTTGAAGCTGCTGAAGCAGCTCCTGGATTTTCAACTTTTGAACCTTTGCAGAATGGATCTCATGCGAGACGATTCCAAAATCTTCGCAAACTTTTATCTGTCGATCCATTTCGGGCACATCTTGGCTCCCAACACCTACCAACGACCAGGCCCAAGGAAGGTTCTAAGACTAGAGGCAAGCCCCATTGGCCCCGCTGGTAACATATGCAAACAAAGACCTTTCATAGACCACCAATGGCAAGTAAAGGACCGGGTGATACCCCTACATGTCAACTTCTTCCAATAACTGCAAAGAAGCGGTGAAGTGTGATGGAGAAGGCAGGAAAGACAATGGAAATATTGGAGGACCGGTTGTGTGCATGAGTTGACTGTGCAAGTTGCATGAACGTGCGTGAAAATGCTGTACGAAAGTGTTGCGCGTGAAAGAGGTTTGTGCTGGAGCGAGGTGAGTGAAAGTGCTGCATGTGAAAGAGTTCTTGGTGGAAGAGTGGTGCAAGAAAGAGTGGTCTGTGAGTGAGTTGCCTGGGAAAGAGCTGTGCGTGAAAAAATTGTATGCGAAAGAGCCGCGTGTGGCAGAGCTGCGCGCGAAAGAATTATGCGGCAGAGAGCAACGCATGACGGAGTGGGATGGGAAAGAGGCGTGTGTGAAAGAGTGGTGTGGGCGGAAGCTGTGCGTGGAAGAGGTGTGTGTGTGTACCCTGCTATTTACATGCAGGAAACTTACTACCGTTCAATTCAAAGATTGAGTTCAGCAGAACTTAGTGCATGACCAAGGCACAAGCCCGCAATTGGACGAGCATCTCATCCATAATTTGCTTCAATTTGCAGGCGTCAAGGAAATCCTGCTCAGGTAAGCCCAAGTTCCTGCACTCGGCGATCATGGCCTCAACCTTTTCAACATCACGCGATTCCACGACCAGCTTCAACTCCGAATGCACTGCGTGAATCCGACGTCTAACTGTCAATGCCTGGCAGCAGGATGCTCTTCTATGGTTCAAAGGCTTAGAAGATAACAGCTGGCAAGCAAGTGCTCAATCGTCGAGCAGGACACAAACCCGACAAGCACAGAAAGGTACCCCACCAGGGCCCCGGTTTTCCAAATTCTTGGAAATGCAATATTCTACCAACGTATGCATTTTGCATGCTTAGCGTGCGTGTCTTGCGCCATCTCACAGCACAATATGTTGGAACAGCGTTATTCAAACACATCGGCTATTGAGTTGAATCCGTCTAAAGGACGAAGTTTGCTGTTGGAATGTTAAGTCTCCTTTCCAGATTCCAACCTTTCCACCTTCTCTAGAGAATCGTTTATCCTCCACCTTGCCAAAAAATTTAGCATCAAATTGGCACCAAATACTGTCACAGTTACCCCCTGTAGATTCAAAAGTCTCTCCAGAGATCTGGAAAGGTGGAGAAGGGGGGTCGTTTTTTTTTGACCCCCTTCCTTCAGATTCCTTAAAGCTGGCTCCAGCACACTTGGGGGATTGGCTCCACTCACGTTCATCAATTTCACCTATCGTCTGGCCGGACGGTCAGGCAGGACTGTCTGGCAGGACTGTCTGGCCGGACTGTCTGACCGGACTGTCCAGCTGGACCGTCTAGCCGGACCATCTAGCGCAACAGTCTTTACACTGCGTGCTAGTCATTCACATGATGAGCAACACCTCCATTCAGTTTTCTTCTACCCTAAAGAAACTGCCATCAGTAAACTCAAAAAACTTTCCGCACCTTCAGCCAACACTAAATAAGTATAATCCATCTCACCTTGGATGAAACCTTCTCATCTTTTGCATAATTTTTTGTTTTCTTCACTGCGTGGCAAGGACATGCGAAGGTAAAGAAAAATAAAGCACTATGCCTCAGGGCCGTGCTGTGCAACTAAAAGGGCCAGCCAATGAAATTCAAGAGTGGCACACGAAGAAAGCGGGTTTGAAGAGTAGACGGTGTATTCATATAGATATAGATATAGATATATATGTTTGGAAAATATCGTTTATCTAAAAGAATGCCGCATTCATCATGCCCAGAAAACACGATATTTATTGGGTGAGAGACCTTGAAGACCATCTGCAGTAATCCTAGTGCCAGGGGAGCAAGCAGCTAGATCATATACCTTTCAACATTTGCATGGCCAATGTGCTCTCACTGAAGTCTTTAGGCCTTCTGCGCTGTCCAACTCTACATACAGGTAAGTTCAAGCTTGCTTTCAAGTAGAGCCACCACTAGTGCTACAACTTGCCGAAACTACAAACACAAGATGGCAACCTATGACATGGTGCAATGAGTGCTTCTACTCAATAATTGCATGATAATAGACGAGACATTTGAGGTCACCCTTGCTAAAATATTGAATCGATAATTTTAATAAACTTCACATATTGTGTGAAAGCCAAATAGTTTGCCAATGAAAAAGCGTATGCGAAGTGTTTGCTATCATCCCGTGTCACATTTATGATAGGTCTGCTCCTTGTCATGGCTGTATGTAGGCAAATCCTTAGAGGCATTTTTCTGCCTTGATTGTGCTGGCCACAGGCGAAACAATGATCAGCACATTCACTCAAACTTTTGCTCTCAACATTGTCTTTCCATATTCTTTCCATGTTTTTTGCACGGCACAACATGAAAATAACATCGCCGAAGGAAGTTTAGAAGCCAAACTTCCGACAATATGGACAAATGGAAAAGCAGAGGTGGTTAGAGTCAAAGAAGAGAAGAGAAGAAGAAAGAAGATCAAAAAGAGAAAGTTTCAGAAGAAAGAAGATCCAGGTGCCCGAAAAGGTAGAAAAGTCACGAGGCACTGTGTTTTCCAATGATTTGTGGCTCCGGAGGGTCGACAAGTAGGCTCGCTAAAGCGGCGGATGCGGAGCCAGCTGGCCAGATGAGAGATGAAAAATTGCACGCCGTTGTGGCGCGAAGCACATTTCGAAGTCAGAATGTACAAAGCAGCTTCGGAGCTCCTTTAAAAGTTGAGATGTCGAAAAAGTGCACGCCGCTGTGCCGCCCAGCACGTTTCCAAGTCAAAATGTACAAAGCACACGCAGGTTCGGAGCACTTTTTGAAGTTGACATGTCGAAAATGTGCACGCCGTTGTGGGGCGAAGCACATTTCGAAGTCAACATGTAAAAAAAAAAAAAAAAAAAAAAAAAAACAAAAAAAAAAAAAAAAAAAAAAAAAAAAAAAAAAAAAAAAAAAAAAAAAAAAAAAACACACCAGGTTCGGACCACTTTTGGAAGTTGAGATGTCGAAAAAGTGCACGCAGTCGTGGCGCGAAGCACATTTAGAAGTCAAAATGCACAAAGCACACCATGTTAGGACCACTTTTGGAAGTTGAGATGTCGAAAAAGTGCGCGCTGTTGGGGCGCGAAGCCCATTTCGAAGTCAAAATGTACAAAGCACAACATGTTCGGACCACTTTTTGACGTTCAGATGTCGTTTCGCGTGGCAGGCGCAAGGGATTGTGCACCTTGTCAAAAGTGAGCAAAACGTGAGGGTTCTGTGGCCACGCGCAGTACAAGAGACATGTTTAGCAGAGATGTTAGGAGGTCCGGGCGCTGATTTCCTGAGAATGGTTGCATTTTGGAGCATCAGATCTTCAGTTTTGGGAAGGTGATTTTGCGTGACAAGCGCAGCACTTCGTATGACCTGCCAGCTTCTCTCCCGCACTTCTGTTGAAAATGATGTCGCCTTTCACTTTCATCCTCCGATGTTTTCATTACATCCAATTTGGCCCTCCTATGCTGTTTGATTCGAGTGGTTGGATCCAAATACTCTTACACCTCCATTGGATGTTTCCTTCATCCTTTTTCGGCATCTAGCGTTGCGACAAAGCGAGGGAAGATGGAAAAACTAAATGCGAAGTGGTCTCCGGCACTTATTGCAAACATTTTCACGATTCCCGTCGCTGCTATTTCATGTGTTTGGCCCTGTTCCTCAAAACACTTCCTGAATCCACCCACTGTTTGGGGCCTACGGTGGTGCAATT